GCTCTAAACGTTCCCTCTTCTGAGCTCTTGCAAGCCACATTGCTATAGTGTTAACATGATATAAATTTCCTACATCTTCTTTTACTGAAAGTTGTTTTCTTTGGTCATAAACTTAGATATGCCAGCAGAATACCCTTTGAGTGCGTGTTGTGTATGAGTAATCGTTTTATCTAATGTCACTCATCTTGACAGCCTTGCATTTTCAAAATTAATAAAAGCATAAGGAAACTGGTGCACCATCACCAACTAAAGAATCTTGGCCTCCACCCTAAATATCTAGTCATCTGTGTTGTACATTAAGTGTGAAGGCACATATCACAGTTTGGGATTTAAATGGAAAAGTCAATACCCTACAGGAAATCTACAGTTGCATAGCAGACTTTTCTATCAGCCAATGCTTTCTTTGTCAGTGCCTTCTGATTACACATACTTGTGTACTCCAGGTATTGATTTTACTTTGCTTTTGTTTAGATTAGTTAATATTCCTCCCTCTTCCAAGAAGAGGCTGGGGAGGGGGAGAGGTGAGAGGAGGGCAGAGACATCAGTCAATAATAATGTGGAGGCAGCATCCCATCTACCTGGCCAGGGAACTTTCTGTCAGTGCCTTTGGCCCAGAGTACTAGCCTTCAGCCGTGTGCTCCAGGGTAACCTGTGCCCCCAATATTTTCTCCCATAGAGCTCCCACGCTTTCTAAACTGGCTGCTGCTCTTGCTGCAGTGAACCATGCAAGAAGATGGCAGAACCTCCCTTAAGCTAAAAAAGCACTTTGGAGCAGAGCTTGCAATCTTGTCCGACAGATTCTTTAAAAATCTGCTCTAAGCTGTACTAAGAAAACTCCAAGGACTTACTATTTCTCTCTTAAGAATGAACGAGTTTTTTGGGTTTTTTGTTTGTTTGTTTGTTTTTAAATATAGAAGCTAACCTTCTCAGGGCTTCGTAAGCAGCCAAACACCATCACTTTTACTGCAGCTGAAAAAAATTAAATTTCTCCTTGGAAAAATAAGCTTACTTGTGTTTTCTCTTTATTCTCCTTTTCTTTTGTCACAGGAAAGTATGCTGACCAAAATAAAGCATTACTAATAGTGACTAGAAGGATGAAGATCATACCAAAATCTCTCAAAACTACTGCCAACACAATATTGTATTTAAAGCACAGCAATGAGGAAACCTCTATTTTCTCTAAAGATAGCTGGAAAAGAAGTTCACATATATGTTTTACTTCTTCCAGTATAAATTGACCAATACCAGCACTCAAGCATGTTCATTTTTCCAATAAACAGAAAAAAATAAATATGGCATATTTTAACGATTTCTCTAAAAAGAAGTAAGCTACTCCCCAAAGCATTGATACCAAAACATAGCATAAATGGCCCTTTTGGTCTTCTGCTGAATACCATAGTTATGGTGAGAAACATTAAAACTAAAATGAGTGAAAAGGGTTTCTGCAGAACAGGTAATGCTAGCAAGCCTAAAAGTTTGAGCCCTAAGATAAAATATAAGGTGAGTTAAATTTTCAGAAAAAAAAGTTTGCACTGATGAGCAGCGAATTTGCCTGTGGATTGGCTGATCTAGGGACTCCACACAGAGACTGAGCACTGCTATGTAACTGTGGAGACTGGAGAGGGAAAAGGAGGTTCTTGCTGTCAATATGCAGCTACTGTGGCTAGGATGGGTAAGAACGGTATTTTTCTCTCTCTCCTGCTCTTTGGACACTGTTTTTAATAAACAGTCGGTATCAGAGCTCAATCCAAAGACTGTTACATGTGGGATTTCTTTAATGCACAGACCTGGCAAAACTGTACTACATGCAGCCAAGAAACTAAACAGAAATTAGACTACCTTCAAAATGTAACAACTGAGCATCCTCATTCTCTCTCAGTGTTTTCATTTAGTTGGAACAAATGTTTTGCTTTAATGCAACTGAAAAGAAAAGAACATTTAGGGACAGCAAAGCTAGATCCCTCATAAAGCTTCTTTTTCAAAAACAGCATTTGAATCTCTAAATAAATGACAATTCATTCTCTGTTTAGGTAAACAGAAAATGCATTGCAGAGTACTCGTTTTCAAAAGCTAATCAAGAACATTAGGTCCCAACAGATTCATTTAATAGAAATATAATAGGCATTCCTGCTTGCTTTTAATCTTGTCTTGCTGTAAATGCTAAAATGAACAGCAAATTAACCCTGCATTGGAACAGAGTTTCTGTCACAGCTGATATCCTCTCTCTCACGACTTGTAAACATCCCTGCATCCTGTCACTGCTTTCACTCCTTCTACACAGGAGAGATGATTAAGTTTGGCAAGAGAATGGAGGAATACTTGAATTCTAGAGGGAGTACTTACTGCATGTCAACTCTGCTATCTTCCCTAGCATAACAAAATATTACAACGCTGTCTCCTAAAATAGTGTACAATTAGGTCATAGGAGGAGGGGTTGGGGTGGGTTTGGGTTTTTTCCCCCAAGCTACATATATCAACTGTCTTTCTCTATATTTTTAACTTTACTAGCCATTCTCCAAGTGACTGCTTATAAACTACTATACAAAACAAGCTAATAAAGACAGGGCCATTCAAGTGCTATAGTCAGATATAAAAGGTGTGCAAACAATTTGAGATCTTAAAATTAATATTCAGTGATATCAGAATTAGCATTTAGAACTACACAAAAAACTATAATATTTCATAAATTATGTAATAATGAACAAACCCTTTCAAAAACTGTTTTCACTGTGCTAAAGTAACATTCTAGACTTGTTGTAAGTATGTTATTCTTACAAGTAGTTCGCAGTTATTCTTGAAGGCAAGCCTTGGAGTTTCCTTAGCATAGTGCTGCTGGGGAAAATTTTCAGCATGTCCATCTTCATCTCTAGCCTGAAGGGAAATATAATGGCCTATTTAGGGACTTACAAATAATGGAAGAAAAAAAAAAAAAGCTAAAAGCATAACAGCTCAGATAATTAAACAAACGGGAATCCAGAAATAACAACATTATTAAGAAGTTTGTTTAAATACGTAGTACGCCTTTTAGATATCGAAATATGGGATTTGTTTTTCTTTACGTTGTTTAGTTTGAACAAGCAAATTCATTGTGGTGTAATATTTAAAACAATATGAAAGCAAATCGAAATCAAATAATTTTGTTGGAAATTATCACCACTTTAGTTTTTTAGTGCACATTGTTCATTGCACATTTAAAATTATCTGACATACATACGTGTTTAAACTTTTGGCATGCTTAAGCAATCTCTAGATAATGCACTTTAAAAAAATTCTAATAGCAAGGCCATAAGAAAAGCAATTTGCATAGTTATATTTTGCATTGTAATACTATTAGAGATAAACTGATTCCCCTCAATTTTTAAATAAAGATCTGAAAGGAGCGATGATCTAGTAAGAACAATGATTCTTCAATCAAATGCAGTAAAAAAATAGATTTAATTAAGAAGCTGCATTAAAACTTACTGGTTATTTTGATCTACACTGTTAATTAAGAAAGCTGAAGTTTAAATGGAGACATTAACACAACCCATTAGCAATACTGCTTGCATACAGTCTTCTCTTTCTAATCTCCATTGGTTTCTGGTTTGGAGTTGGAGAAAAGGGAGAGGTAGGTGAAAGGGGGCGTGTCTGCAGCACACTCATTAAACCATTCATTTGGGTGACACTTGCACTCTGCTCTGCTCTCATCTCAGCTTGGCCCTCGCTGCTCTCTCTTTCCTGGCCTCCTGAAATTCACAGCTGAGCTATCTCCCTCACATATGGCTTGCATATAATTATGCATATTCCATTTTGCACTGCATTAAAATGATGAGTTCCTGGCTCCCTGCCAGCTGATTTTAAAAAGCCCTAGTGAAGTAGGAAAAAGGAGAGAAACACAGGGAGAGCGCACAGGAAGCAGCAGGTAGTTCTGTCTGCTGTCTCTCTAGATAAAATGTATGTCTGGCACCAAGGGAACAGCTGAGAACTACCTGTTGTGATAGATGGATTGAGGGGGAGAAAACAATGAGCATACGTCTGTGGCATGGCAATGACAACGTTTATGTATTGTTTCTCCTTTAATGGAGTGAAATTTGCCCTGACGAGTGTCACTCAAAGCTCCCTGGCTATACTGAGGATTGTCATTTTAGAAAGGGATCTATATTTTGTACATTTTAGAATGTATTGCTTGTTTTTAATGAAGGCTTCTGCTGCTTATCCCAAGGAGGGAACGAAATGGAATTTGGAAGTGGAATGTCATGGTCAGTAATAGTTGGGTTACAGGAAGCTTGTGGAGAAAAGAGTTTGTTCTGTTTTGGTTTCATTTTTGAGATTTATGAACATCTCTGGGAATTGGTGCCTTTTAACCAAAATTTTTCCCCTCCCAAATCAGAGTAAAATAAAAATGCAGATATAGGATTGGCTATATGTGACAGAGAAAAAATTGTTAAGTGTGGTTCATGTCCAGTAGCCATCAGGGCACCAAAATCTGTGATGTTTCTTCTCATTGCATCAGACTACTCAGCAGCTACACCAGGGTCTAAGTTAATACAACTCAAATGCGACCCATTTTCAATCCCAATGGGTAGAAGTAGCAATGGAGCTTATAAATAAAAGGCAGTAGTAGTAAGAAAGCTGTAAAGGTGCCAATGGGCAATGACAACAATAATTTCTTCATAACAAAAGTTTGAGCTACCCTGTGAGGTATAGGTCTCTTAAAGGTAGAAACCACATTGATTTCATCTTTCTTACTCTGCCATGCCCAGTGCCTTACTTTTAGTTGGTATTTAACAAACATTTAAATGATGGAAAAAAAAACCCATACATGGATAGTAACTACACCCTACCATAAACAACACTGTAGAAAATGCCACTTCAAAATATGTTAAACTTGGTAGTAGGTTTATTATATTCCTGATGCACTATGATACATATGCTTGGAAACACACTTTGCATATAGTTTACAAGGGCTACTATTTACATATGTATGTCTACATTCAATATATATGTATCTTGTGTATAAATATTCATAAGGTGGAATATGTTTATTATGCATGTACTATGTATACACATTCATACACACCAGATGCCTAGGGATATTTTCAACTTTAGCAGTAAAAATACATTCATTCCACTTACATGTAAGGTACTCACAATGTTTTTGTGTTTAAAGGACAAAAAAAATCCCATTACCTAAGATTTGAATGTGCTTCCTCAAAGGAGCTATAGATTTCATATAAAGCCTTATAATTTATGAGGTTAAATAAAGCAGCAGTGGAAGAGAAAGAAGAGAGGGATTGGGGAGATTAGGAAGTAGAGAGAGAAAGTCAGAAACTTGCTTCCTTATTGAGCTGTTCTGTTAGCTTCTGCATCAAACTGTCATGGCCCTGGGAACAGCCTGCCCTCTGACACCCAGAGTCGGAGAAATTCCATCCTCTGGCCATTTGCTGCATTTCCACCACATGCCTCAGAAAAGGAAAGCACACAAAGTGCAAGGAGCCCCAGAACCATCACCCTCACATGCACGTGCATGCACACACAAGCACTCACACATCTCTCACCAAAGTCATCCCCTTTGCATCCTGAAGTTTTTTAATGTGAAATTTTTAATTATTATAGCACTAAGTGGAATTAAGTGCACTCATCTAAGTCAAGAATTCTCTACTCTGGCTGCATATTAGAATCATCTGGGGTGGTCATTTTTTTTTTTTTTTTTTAACATATTGGTGCCTGACCCTCCTCCTTCCCACCTTTCCAAGATTCTGACTTAATCAGTCCAGGCTGGGACCTGGACATGGTGGTGGTGTTAAAGCTCTCAGGCGATTGTAATGTACAAGCAGGACTGACAACCACTGAACTAAGGAGAGTGCCCGGGGGTATCAAGGAGAGGCTGCTGGCATAGTTGGCAGAATGTTCTCTAACCAGGTCCCACTCCCGATGGAAAGAACCACTGTGCATTGCTAGAATGTGGCCCTGAGGTGAGTCTTACCCTAAAGATTCACGAGATTACAGAACTGATTGTAAGCAAACATTCTAATTACTTGTTCGTGTTTGTTTCTTAATTTCTGGTATGACAAATAACCTTGGAGAAACGACTGTGCCACTTCCTCAGAAAGGCCTTTCTAAACCTAACCAAAGCAAACATCTCCACTCTGTCCTCTTTTACACTTGACAGGGTTGCAAACTTGCGATTATTGGTGTGACTTTTGTCTCCCCTACCAGGCTGCAAGCTTCCTAAGGGCAGGAATGGTGTTTAGTTTCTCTCCATTGTGTCTAAAGTACCAACCACTGCCTGGTGCCCCCAAGTGCTCTGTAAAAATGAGCTTTATCCACAGCAACTTGGTGGTAATGTTAGACAAAACCCATAGGAACTTCCTTACCCTCCATACAGTCATTCTAGAACATCTTATTACCTCTTATATATTGAAGCCGGTGCCTTATTCTACATCCGCCCCGTTTGGGGCACCAGACAATGACTTAACAAGGGGACACAGGGAGCCGACTTACCCCTGCAGGCAGGAGTACGTGAACACTGATATTGTTCAGAATCACTGGCTTGTGGTAATAACATAAGGCTGGTTTTATTATTGTTCTTAAATTCTCTACAGATGATATATTCTGTAATTGCCTGTCTCAGAGTGGACCACCCCACTGCTGGCTCTTGGTATTCACTGGGGCCAGGAGAACTATGTTGACATCTGACTTTATTCTAGGGTGACAAGTACTGACAGAAGAAAGAACATCAAGACAATTCATGACGAACTAACTCGCTGCTTGTGTCTTACTCTCAACAGCTTTATTCTGACTTACGTGCTTGATATTTATGCCAACTATGGAAAAAGCAAAAGGGAGACTATTTTTTGCATTTCACTATAAATGTGGTTGTCAGACCAAAGGTGCATTTTGACCTATTATTCTGAGAAAGCTTCACTTTTTGCCATTAAAAAATAAACAAAAATAAAAATCATTCCATTAAACTACAAGTGGATGTCCCTATTTTGCAAACTGTCATGCATCTGTTTTCAGGTCTGGCATTAAATAAATATTAAACTTTGTGTTCACCTCTCTTTCCCTGTGAATCATCACTAATTCATTTCTTTTATTTAGACTCTTACAATACAGCAAACTTCAGTTCTCCTTCAAAGAATTCCCTTCTGCCTTTGAGCCATGTGCATATTCAAGCAAGATGGCATTCTTTTTCTTCTGAACTCCTTTGCAAAGGATGGAACAATCTAGAAACAGCTCCACTTGCCTACCCCAGAAAAGTATAATATTTCTGGCTCAACAAAAAGGTTAACATTGCTGCCATTTAAGTGGAAAGACAATTACGCGTCAGAGTTAACACCTCCCTGTGATGAATGGGAGTTTACACCTCTGTAAACCTTTCAGGATTTCTTCTGAAAATAAGAAAAGGTTCTGCTTGCAGACTTAGCCTTCCAGTGCTACAGCAGATGTAGCACATGTCAGCTCACACATGTAGTGTCACTACCAGACTCAGGAACATCAAAATAGTGCATCTCAAAGTTGTGGGAATAACTTAGAGATGAAGAGTTGTAGAGAAAAAAATGGAACATTAGTTGATATTTTAACTAATTTTTTTGAAACAGAAGTAATAGAATTTTATTTCAAAATTCAAGGTTAAAGCACAAGGACATCACTTGGGAAAACTCTTGGAATTTCATTTGCTGATATCTCATTTCTGGTCTATCCTTCCTTTCTCAAATGCACTTACACACTCTCTTGAGAAAGCTTGGAGAGGGATAAATGGCAACTATCACATACTCCCTTTCAGTGTGTCACAAACATCTTTGTGAACTTGACATAAAGGTCAGCCCAGTTTCTTTGTCCTTCAGTGAGCAGAAGTCTGGGAGCTCTGTTCAGCCACTCCTGCCCCT